TGGTTGATTGGGTTGTAGCTTGCTGCTTAGTGAGAGTGGGTGGAGCTGGTTCAGCATGTTTTAAAGGTCCTCTGTGAGCTGTTCTGCACCTCAGGGGTCCATATATTATCAAAAACACTGAGTTGACGAGGCTTGGTGGCACACACCTTTAATCCCAGCACTTAGGAGCCAGGGCAGGTGGATCTCTGTGAGTTTGAGGCCAGCCTTATCTACATAAAGAGTTCCAGGAAAGCCAAGGCTCTGTAGAAACACTGTCTCAAACAAAAAACACTAAACTCTCCTCATTTCATGCCAACTATACATCTTTTGACTATAATTTTAACTGTAAATAAACAAAATTTATTAATGAAAAGAACAAACATATGTTATACTTTAAAACCAGGATCTCATAAAATTACTAAGGTCAAGTTTTCATTTTATTTTTGATTTCTGAAATGCTGTGTAATTTTTTTCCTTTACTTCTGAACAAATATTCTATACTATATCACCACACCATAGTTTTCTTATGAGCTCTGATTTTTAATGTAAATAAAAATCCATCAAAAGTGATGGTGATGATTCCACCACTTGTAATATTCTCAGAAGCAACTTTAGTGTATGTTGGAAAATATTTTTAAATGATTACATCTTCCAGTGTCATAGAAAGGACCACCCAAGTACTAATTAAGAAAGACATTTTTTTTTTTAAAAAAAAAGGTTTTAAAGTGTTGTTTTTGAAAGTATTGGATGGGTCTGTAAGTAGGAAAAGTTGAAAGCATGACTTGTGAGGAGTCACTCACTTTTAAAACATTTTTTGGAGGTAGCTCATGTTGTTGAACTCGCCGTGAACTTGCTATGCTCTGACATTTGTGCCCCACACCCTGTGATTTACAGGTATGTACCACCAAAATAGCCATCAAGTCTAATCACATTTGTAAATGTTTTACAGATGAATAACATATTTACAAATTCCAAGAGAATGATGCTGACATGTTTTATTACACATTTAATGAAACATTATTCCAATTTCACTTTTTTTTTCCCCCTTGGCTTGCTGGCAATAGCTCTTTTATTCGGGTTAAGTATATTTTTTTTAGATCCCTGAAGAACTCAATAGCTTTGGATCTGGCCTTCTGCACCAGATGTACAGATGAGAGTTAAAATGGACATACTCAACTCTTGGTTAATCAGAAATCACTCTGATGGCTGCCATCACTTAGACGTGGTCTATGAGGCCCAAGGGGGGTGCGTTTGCTATGCCCTGGAGGCAGGTCATGTTAGGTGGAAGGCATGGGCTAGAGTTCAGCTGTGTCAGGTATAGAAGCAGGAAGTTAGCTGCCAGGCTGACAGGACCTCGGCAGGTCTCCAAATGGAGCAAGTGGCCTGCTGGGTGTTAAACATCACACCTAGGCGGGTACTTCAATTAGCCCTGGAACTTTGGTGACCTGGGTCTCCATGACCTTGTCACTTTGGGTAATTCCACCTCTAACCATCACCTGTCACCCCACCCCTTGCTCACAAGGCCACTGTCACCCCACATAGAGGACTGTGCCTAACCCTGTTGCAATTTGGAAGGCTGCTTTTGTACAGAAGGGAGGTCCAGGGATGGTCTAAGCTCCCAGGAACAAATCAGGAGACAAATTCAGGTTCAGTGACTCAAGGGCCTGCCCTAGGTAGAACTGGCAGGAAGGGGGAAAGAGTGGTAGTATGGAAAGACCCCTGAGCAGCTCCTGCCTGGTCCATGAAGACCCTGAAAGTAAGTGTGCCTCTGAGAATGTCCACCCTAGGCAACGGGCTAGCCTTTCACACTCCCAAACTGCTCTGCTGAGACTCTCTCTGTGGGATTTGTAGGCTCCAGCTAGCTTTTCAACTCTGCTGGAGGAAATCTGAACAAGAGCAGGGGCAGGGTGGCCAGAGTCCGCTGAGGGCATTCTTACCGAGCCTTTTTAGAGATTATTTTACCAGTCCTTGTCCCCAGCTCTGGAAGGACACTCCCTAGTTTTAAAGGCAGAACACCGTTGCTTGAAGTGTTGCCCATGTGTGGGCCTTGGATTTGCTGTCTACTCACCTGTGGCTTGATCATTTCCTAAGCCTTCAGCTTCAATCCTGTATTGACAGTGCTCTGCGTGCTCAGTGTGTAGCTGGTCTGTGAACAGCAGCGTTTTCTGTTGTCATCTCCAGTGGGCCGAGTGTCTGAGAGGCTGGACTGAGTCTGTTGGCCTTCCAACACCCCAACTCTTTCTAAGCTTGGCTTTGCGCTGTTTTTAGCTTCCGGGTGGATCTCTAACTAGAAAACGGTTAAACTCGGGAGGTTGTGAGCCAGTCATTACTGAGAACACACATTACCTGCCCCTTCTTGATGCCACTTTCCTTGACACCATCCAAAAGTGGAGAGAGGATTGTTCAGGTTGGAGGGACCCAGAACCTCAGAGGATGCCTATAGTCTTGGGAGAGGGTGTGTATGTGCGTGCCTGCGTGCATGTTGAGACTGGAATTGGGAGAGGTCTCTGTGTGCGAGCGGTTACTGAGAGGTGTGTGTGACTAATTTCCCGGAAAGAGGAAGTGGCCTGTTCCTCAGCTCCTTGTCACCAGTGGTGAGTGAAGAAACCTTAGCCAGGGTGCATATTATGGTCCTTGCTGCGGATTCCACCCTCCTGAGCTTATAAACAACCTTGTTGGGCCTAGCATGGACCCCTCCTTCCCCCCCACACACACACACCAAGACTTCCCTGGGTGCTTCCCTAGGAAGGAGACGGGATTTCCTGGACCCAGAGACAGGGCCTCTGTATTGGTCCGGGAAGAGCAAGAGCTGTTTAGCGCTGTCCACAGCCTCACACCTCTCCCCCCCCCCCCCCCCCCCCCGTTGCCTCTCCTTTCTCAGGGGTCTTGGTCTGACTGGTCAGTCATGCCGCCTGGCATCTTTGCTGCCCTACTCTTGTTATCATCCCCTTCAGACTTCACCCAGATCAAAGAAACACCCCCCGGTGGTCCTCAATCCCCGACTTCGTCTATTTACCCCTCAAACGCTAGAACGCCTTTTCAGAGCCAATCAACTGGAAAACCTAGAACATCTCCCACTTTCCTGTGGTTTGTGGAAGGAGTTTTATATATTCCGCTAAGAAAAAAACAAGCAATGGGAAGTTAAGCAGTCCTCAGTAAGATGGCCATTTGCCTCCAGGGAAACACAATGATCTTTTGGAAAGCAGGAAAGACTTCCATCCATGCCCTCACTACATCAGAAGGGAAGCTAAGCTGGGGCTCGAAACCTGTGGCGGATAGGAGACTTGAACAAAAACTCCAAAGTGAAGGTTTCTGGATAAATTCCAACACAGACTTGAAGAGGTGAAATTTACTTCTTGACTAGTTTGTAGGCTTTTTTGTTTGTTTCTGTCTTAGAGGAAACCTAAGTAGTTGGGACCTTCACTCACACTAGCTGACTGCGCTTCACGGACAGGCAAACGTGGGGACTACAGCAGCGCAGGCACGGACTGGCCACAAGGTGGCGCAGCACCTCTACAGTTGGTCCCTGAGCAAATACAGAGGGTAGCGAAGAGGTTGGAATTGCAGTTTATGGAGTGAATCTGAAAACTGTGACTGTGTCGTATGTCATTGAGGCCAACGCGGTGTGTCCCTTTATGCTAACTCCTACTCCACTAAGCCAAAGGAGCCTTTAAAAAGCCACAGAACATCATCGAAACTGAGACCCATATTCACCGATATCGGTACTGATAAATACCAAAACAGAAAAGACAATTTCGTTCTTCAATTTACTTAAAGGATTAGAGCTGATATAGAAAGCCATTTGGGGGAGTCAACGTAAAAATGATAGCTTTGGTTATACTTAGCACATGCAACTTCCTACAGAGGTAATTATGAGCAATGAAGGGGTGGGGGTGGGGGTTAAAACAGCAGGCAACCTTGAGAGCCAAGAGCACAGAGGGGAGCCATGGCTGCTGCCTGTCGCCACACTGGGCTGGCAGAGCGCAGAGCCCGTTACACGCTAGCATTAAGCTGCAGGGTTTGCAGAATCTCACCTCGGTACTATCACATTTTTCTACTCACGTAACAGCATTTGTGTTTTCTAATTAATGGAAGGCACATTTTTAAAAAATGTATTACCTGGGCACAATAATCTAACAGTAATACCTACAGCAGAAAGCTGGCCTAAGGGATTATTTTTAGTGACATTTGAGGGTTTTTTTTGCAGTTTACTGATTTTACTCATCTCACTAAAAATCTTACTAAACAGAAGTTGTGTTTAAAACAAACTCAGGGACGTGAGAGAATGAGCACAACAGGCTGAAGTCTCCTGGCGTGTATACGTGGTTAATAACAGCGAGGACTCCTACGATTAGGTTTAAATTTATGCCATAGTTTTACTAATTATGTGGGTAAAGAAAAAAAAAAAAAGGACAGCTTTAAAAATAGTATGTGATGCCTAAAGGTATATTAACTTTAAACACAAGCTTTGATAGTGTCCTGTAAAAACTATTACTTTAAGTGCACAGTAAGAACCACACTTCTTAAAAGACTTATTAGTAAGAACTGCTGTGGTGCACGCTTTTAATCCCAGGAGGCTCCAGGACAGCCAACGCTACACAGAAAACCCCTATCTTGAAAAACAAACAAACAAAAAACCAACACATGAGCTGCTGAACACACATCAAGAATTTTGCTGAAACTCAAAGAACAGAGCAGACAGGAGACGTGATGGGGAGTGAAGAGGAGACATGATGGGGAGCAGACAGAAGTGGGGGGGCACTTCTCTGCCTGCTTCCACTTATCTGTGTTCCTGAGTACTGATTCATGTTTTCAAAAGGATTAAGATTTTGTTTGAGTGGATAAAAGATAAAAGTTCTACAGTTTTATAATAGTGATTTAGCATCAAACCTCCCCTTTCCTCTGAATCCTAAAGAGACATTAGAATCAGTGAACTGGTTTTGGTCATGGGAGAGGCTGTTTTCTGTCTTATTTTATACCGTACTTTACGCATGAAAGAATTAAAAGAGTAACTGCACAACTAGCTTTATTAGACTGGTTTATATAAAGAATAGTTTCTCTGCCTAGCTAAAATACAAGGCACATGCATCCAGATTCCTCTTAAGCATGCTGCAAAGTCTGCCTTGAAGATAGGTTTATGACTTTTCTCTTAGAGCAAAGGAAGGTACTCCATCACACATCCCCGGGGTGAGAGTTCATGCAGCAATGGCCCCACCCTCTCTGCTGGTGGAGGCTGGGATCACCGAGGCGCGTTCTGAAGGGGATCAGCATGCAAACTTGCTTCCGTGAGGCTCCTCCGAAGGTCTCTTATGCTCATTCATGAACTCACTGGAGAACCAGCACTCCCAGTGTGGACCTCTCACTAAATGTTCACAGCGCTGTTTGAAGGAAGAAGGTACAGCTAAACACGAATACAGCAACGTAACTAGACCACTTACAGGGAGAAAATGAGAAATTTATCATGTTACTTTCCTGACACATATATGCACAGAGCACTCAGCCCTGACCCGGACCAGGCTTCGACGTCCAACTTGAATGGTGATGACACCATTACCTTGTAGTGTGAATTCTGGGCTCTTTGACCCTTGTCTGACCTTTCTGTGCCTGACTCATCCCCTATTTTCAATTTACCAACTTCAGCTTGGTTTTGCCAAGAGGGCAACTAAATATGAGAACAAAGCATTTACTGTCTCACAAGGATTACACATGTGAAAAAACTCAGAAAAGTATTAGCTATTATAAAAAAATAAATGATAACCTATCAGCAAATCTAATATAAACAACATTCTGAGAGTAACAGGTAAAACTGCATCCAACTGAATGAGTATCAGTTCTTAGCTGTTTGTTTTGTAACCTTTATAAACAATTTAAGTGTGTCCACGGTCTGAAACTCTTAACACTCTTCCTGTGGGCACGGCTGTTGGTGATCAGCCACCAATGGAGCCCGGTCACTTCTTGTACACTGAGCATCTACTCTTAGCCTCCTCCATGTCACACTGGGAAGTTAGGCACAAATACATTAATGGCTTTAGTGCTAAACCCTGGAGGCTTGAACTGTTCCTTAACAAAGCAACTAGACGGAATGGCTTTAGTGCTAAACCCTGGAGGCTTGGACTGTTCCTTAACAAAGCAACTAGACGGAATAGGTTTAAGATATTCCTAAATCCTGTGTAAAAGTCTACATCAGAAAAGGCAGATATTAAAAATACCATATTTTGTTGGGTGTGGCAGCACATACCCAAAGTCCCAAATACTCTGGAAGCTGGGACAGGAGGATCACTTGAGCCTAAATAACATAATGAGATGTGTGATCAGGTAGCTCAGAGCTAGAGAGTGTGACTACCATGTTCAAGGCCATGAGTTCAAATCCCCACCCAGCAAACTAACAAAAGCCTTCTGGCTTCATCAGCTCTGTATGAGGACCTCTGCCACCTCCACCACCTCAGTGGTTGCTGAGATCAGGGCACGTTCTGGGATGATGCTTGTGGCTGTGGGGAATGGCGCCCTCCAGCAAGCACCTCCTGCTATTTTTGAAAATAAAGATAAGGTGGAATAATTAAAACAGTTTAAAGCTGAACTTTCTGTATATAGTGCTTCCTCAGCCCATCTCTGGAATCATCATCCTTGGTGTGTTTATCTACACTCAGAGAAGTATCAACACCTTAAGCCTTTAACAATAGCAATTTTTTAAGCTGGGCGGTGGTGGCTCATATCTTTAATCTCAGCACTTGGGAGGCAGAGGCAGGTGAATCTGATCGCTGAGTTCAAGGCTAGCCTGGCCTACAGAGGGAGTTGCAAAACGGCCAGGCTCCATTACATAGGGAAACTCTGTCAGAGGGGGTAAAAAAAACATTGAGTTTTTAAATGTTCAAGATAGGTTATGGCGTTCATTGCTAGCTCTATCAGTGCCCTCTACAGGGTCGGTGTACTTCACTTTGAAAGAGGTAATCAATAATAAGCAGGTTTTTGTAAGGTTTTGGGTAATATTAAGAAAATGGGTATTCTACATTGCTCATCTTTTAAATTCGTCCCTTTCTTCAGTAACAGCTGGCAGCAGACACCAACAGCAGGGAGCAAGACAATATTCTGTAATTGGCAGAATCAGAAACGAGCCTGCCCCGACTATGTCTTTTGCCAGATGACAAAATCTGGACAGTGTGGCCCATGGCACTTTTAAATGATGCTGTTGGCCGAGGAAGGTGTAGACGTCTGCTCCTGGCACCTGGATGACTAGTCTCATTAACTCCAGCACAGCTGTACTATGCTGCCACCCGCGGACATTTCCTGTTTTCTAGGTAGCAAAACAAAAAGCTGTGTAACTCTCAGACACTTTGTTTTCTGCAGCGCGCACATCCGGCACACAGTCCCTCAGCCATCCAGAGAACCAAGTCAGTTCATGTAGTGCTTGCAGGAGGAGCCCAGGTACTCTGGGAGGGAGGTGGCGTAGTTGTGGCTTTGTCCTTCAGGGCAACGGTCATCTCCAGGAGTGAAGATGCGTTTTCATCTGAAGTCCCACACAAGGATTTCAGCTCTTCTTCACAGGTGCTGCTGAAGTTACAGGGTCAGTCTCTCACTGTGGCACGTAGCCGCCTTGTCTTACAGTCTGTGGCAAGTAGCTTTTGGGGATTTCTTCATCATTTGCTGTCTCCATTCCAGCAGATTCAAATCTCTCTACTTGTCCATCGGTCCCCATGCCAAGAGCATGTGCGGCCGAACTTTCCTGAAACAGGCTCCGTTGCTCAGACCCACAGGGCTGCAAGATGGGATCTGAACCCTGCTGCTGTTTCAGTCTGATCAGACCCTCCTCGCTGCCTGACAAAGCCTGGTTTGACCTTTCAAAATGTGAACTATCTGGGCTGGCTTCAGGCTGACTGCAGTTCTGTTTGAAATACTGCTGCCTGGGCAAGATCTCCTCGCTGCTGTCCACACTGTCCAGCAGCTGCAGGTCTTCCGGCCGCTCCTCCGAGTCCAGCAGGGGCTGGGTGGACTCAGACCTGGAGAAGACCTGCACTGAGGGGACCTGGTGCCGGTAGCCGCTGTGCACCACGGTGGAGTACTGCACCGTGCTGGCGGTGCTCTGCGCGCACTCATTCTCCTCGCTGCTGGAGATGCTGGGCCTGGAAGACGACATGCACGAAGAGCCCCCAATGCCGCTGCTGTGGCCTTCCGTACTCAGTTTTTCCTTCTTGAACAGGTCCAGTGATTTCAGATCATCTGGACAAGGCTTTTTGTTGTTCGCTTCGATTTCTACAACGCTTACATCAGTGAAATTGCCATCTGAGTACATTTGATCTTTGGAGTTAAAATTGTGCTGGAAAAGGTAAAATAAAAAGAATGATTACTCTGGGCATATTCTGACATCCTAAACCACTGAGCTATCTCTCTAGGCCCTATATTATGACCTTTTAAAATTAAAACTTCTAAGAGCTAGTGCATCTTTGAAATTTCAGTGACTTTCAGGGATAGGAACCATCCATCCCAGAAATTCTCTATAAGCAGCTGACCTGCAGATAAACAATATAAACTAAGAAGTCTGAATCAGTCTCTATTTCCAGTTTTCAAATTAATATTATTGTAAGCAAAGAGTACTATAAATAGTACTGAATATTTCATACTTAAGAGTAGGCAGCCTAGAATTAAACAGGTAAGAAAAAGCCTTGAAAGCATTAAAAATTTCAACACAAATAACTGAGGTTTCATACAGCTTTACAGGTATGATTTGTTAAGCTCAGGGTTACTATGGTGATAGGAAGGATTTCTCCTCTAGGGTATGTTAGGCGTGAAGAGTCTAGTTCAGTTCCCAGAACTCGTCTGCTAAGTGTGAAGATGATGTTAGACAGGACTTAATGTCCAGTCTCAGAACCCTGTGTAGCATGTGCTCAGTTTCCGTTTTCAACAAAGTATTTGTTGTCTTTACCAAACAGTATGAGGAATGTTGGCATAAACATGCTACAATAAACAGTGTGCTAGAATAGGATTTATTATCTTAACTACTGTCATTTACTTGATATTTTATTTTCACTCAGACAGAGTATCTTTTGGTTAAACTACACAAATGAATCCTAATAAACAAGTCTGAATATTAAAAATAAGGAGAAGATAGCATCTTACCCTTGGGGGCGTGTGAGGTGACCACTGGGCAATATGACTCTTTGAAGGATCTGGAACATTAGGCCAGATGTGTTTTTTAATTCTGAAAAGAAGCAAGGTATATATAGGAGAGCATGTAATAATGAAAAGACATTTAACTTTCAATTGTCAGAAATCCAGTCAGAAAATTAGATCAACATAGTATACAGATTCCAAGTAAAGTATGGTAAGCCTGTTGTTTTCCCAAAAGAGTTAAGATATTGTGGAACAGATAGACGACATGAAAGTGGTAGCTCATTCATGTTGCAAACCCAACACTCAGAAGGCGGGAGCAGCAAGAACAGGCATCCAAAACCAGTCCGGGCTATATAAAACCCACTCTCAAAAAATTAAAAACTGAAAAAGAATAAACAGTTCGGGGGATCAGAAATGAAAGTCTAGAAGTAAATATGGACTTACAGAAACAAACATATTTACTTGAAAAGAGAGCTATTTTCAAAATCAATAGAATAAAGTGGGGGGGGGGGGCAGAAACCTGACTGACCTATGATGCCCCCAAATTAATTCAGAATGGATTACAGATGATGGAGCCACTGAACTCCTAGATGAGAAGTTTTGAGCCTGGGTAGATGGATTTCTTAAAAAGGCTACCAAATGTAAGAACCAGAGGAAAAGCCTAGGAAAGGGGACTTTAAAATTAAAAACTTCTGCTTCCCCAAAGTCATAGCTAAGAAAACAAAATACCCAAACTGGGACGAAATTTGCAAACCATGTATTTGACAAAAATTTTTGTTCTCAAATAAAACATTTACAACTCAATAGTAGCAAAACAACCCAATTTAAAATTGGACAAAGACTGCAGCAGACACACAGAAGCTAGGCAACTCAGGACCAGAGCACTGGTAGTCAGGGTAATGGAGACGAAACACAGTGAGCCCTGGTCAGTCCTGGTCAGGCCACACCCACACTGACCGCCTCAGTACCAAGGGCTAATGATGCGGGAACACTTGTAGACATGAGAAAGCTTGGGGTCTTGCTTTCTTCTCTTCCTGCGGTGCTAGAAGTGGAAGTGGAGCCCTGCACACGCCACATGAATGCTCTACCATGGAGCTGCACGCCCTGCTCTGGCGGCTTCTACAAAGTTAACACAATTACCTGAGAGCCATGAAAACAAGCCCATGCAGAGTTTGGAGTGGGATATCCACAGCAGTATTATAAACAATAGGCGAGAGTTAGAAACCTGAAAGTCTCTCACACAGCCACACTACAGATCATGACTCAGCAGCACACCGGGGAAAAAGCAACGTAAGCAACGGAAGGAATGAGCTCCAGAATTGCTAAATGTGAGACCCACCCAAGTCTGCAAGCCACCTGACCCCATGCACGTGAAATTCTAGATAAGACAACGCTGTGGCAACTGAGAACAGGCTAGTCTGTGCGGGGCAGGCGCTGAGACGGGACAGAGTGAAACGATGGAGGACACTTTGTGGGAGTGGGCATGTGTGAGTGGTGGGTAAGCATCCACGCACAACCGGGGCTCAGGTGTAAACGCCAAACAGTTAAATACCATCATGTAAATGGCAACTTACAGGTCTCGTTTGTTAAAGCAGAACAGGACCCCGAGCAGCGTTGTCAAGAGAAACGCCAGGCACACAGGCACGACGATGGCTTCTATCTCTCCCTGAGCTAAAAAAACAAACGGAATAATGAGAAATAACTGTTAACACATACAAAAACAGGACAAAACATAACGTCCTCACTGGATCCTGCCTGATTTTTGTTTACGGAGACAGGGTCTTACAGTGTACCCAGGCTGGCCTGACTCACTGTGGAACCCACTCAGGCGCTTCTGTCCTCCAAGTGCCTGCACTACAGATTACTGACAAACTGTATATTCCCTTTACCCACACTGTCGCTTTTTCAGGTTCTGCGGTACCTTTTCTTCCCTGCTCTGTCCTTGGTTAATCCCGGCCTTTTGTCCTTACGTTGCAAAGTTGGCTGTGTAGTAAGTATAAACCACACACTGGCTGGGAAAGTGAGTTCAGCTTACTGGGTAATAATCATCAAAATGATGATACGTCTGCTACGGGGCCAAGAGTTTAGGGAGAGAGGTTCACAGGCATGAGGGCAGCACAAGCAGAGAACTCATTTACAAAGCATCAAAGCCGGGCACAGAGGCGCTTGCCTGTGGTCTCAAGGATGCAGGAGGTGAAAGCAGGACTGGGAGTTTGAGGCCAGACTCGAGCCTGGGCTATATCACTACAGACACTGCCTCAAAAACAAAAAACATATTTAAGATACAAAGCAACCCGGAATTCCTAAACAGCACACAAATCTCTACAGCTTTTAGAATAGGACTTAAACGAGTGAAGGAGAGAGGATGAGATGCTCGACGCTGATCTCCTGTGGCTGTTCGTGGTTAACTCCTCCGGCCGCCTCCACCTGCCTTTCCCCTGATGCTGACAACTGAACTGGGTCCGGCACAGACCAAGCTTGCACTCTATCGTGTAGTTAACTCCTTTTCATTACTCTTTTTATAGGAAAAAAAGAGTACCCTTCAGAAACAGTGTTTTCTTAGTTTTTTTTTTTTTCAAATCACACATAACCCCTTGTAAGTAACGCTACATCCCATGAAGGCCAGCAGAAATAAGTGCAACACTTGGGAATAAACTATTGGTTGGCTTTTTAATTTTTTTTTTTTTTTGAGTCAGAGACTCTAAGCAGGCCAGGCTAGACTTAACTTGTGAGCCTCCTATCTCACCCCTCCCCCAGTGCTGTTAGACACACAGCATCGCACTTGCTCATGTGTTAATGCCTGAGTATGAAGGCTCTCTATGCTAACTTAGGCACAGCAGCTCTCAGAAGTGCTGCTCAGTGAAGCTCTGATCGCTCACGTGCCTGTCCTGGCCCTGTGCGTGTTGTTCTCTAAGATGCCCTCTTCAGCCTAGTTTCCACACCACAACTGCAGCTCTGTCTCCTCCAGGAACCTTCTTTAAAGGTAAAACACCCTCTGCTGATGGCTTTAGACTTGTATTGTTTACTAATTAAATTGCCCATATAGGTCTGTTTGTTTACTTTTGGAGGTATTCCTTCAACTAAGCTAAAGTCTTCTGGGGCAAGACTCCCAAGCCATTTGCAGAAGCTGTAATAGAAACTGCAGATAGGCAATAACAACAACAACAAAAATCAAATTATAAATTAGTTTTAGTATTACTGGTCCATTTAAATGTAAATAGCAAAGAGACTGATAGATTATATTTAAGAATGGAATTTGAACAAATTTATATTTCTCTTTACAATGTATTATAGAAGTTTCATATAGTGAATTATTTTTATAACTAGGGCAATACTGCTAAAGTTTCATTATTTTTTTCTAAAATGAATGAACTGTCATGGGTCTATTAACATGTTATCACATAGCATCTCATTCCAGAAACTACACTGGGTTTTCCCTGTAGGAAAGATCAGGATTTTATGTCATCATATCCACAGATTATCTTTATATTCAACAATGAACATGGACATTACTAAAGACCAGTAGCATTTGGGGAATTACAAATACAGTTTCAATAAAATAAGAAAAAAATCTACAGTGCTTCAGAAAAAGAATGTACGTAGTCTCCAGGGAGGCTACACAGCGGCCACGTGAGACATTAAGGATGTAACGATGTAACGATGACTGTTCGTCAGAAAGGACAGGGTGGAGGGAGTGATGCGCCTGTGGTCAAAGGCAAGCTGATCCCAAAGGGGAACGAGGCACAAGCAACCCAACTTTCTTTGATTATGCAAGGGAAAAATACAAAGACATTTATTGTAATTCCAACTAAATTTCTGTTTTGTGCAAATAGCTGGAAGGTCGTAGCAGGGAGAAGAGGGTTACTGAAGCCATGTAGGGAGTCTAAATGAGCACTCTGGGCCAGTAACAGAGCTCTGCAGAACAGAGACTGTAAAAGTGCAACACACACAGAAAAACAAAAGCACAGCTGTAAGAACCAGGGATACCGGGGAATTTGCAGATTCTGTGCTGAAGATTAAAATTTAAAAAAAAGAAGGTGAAGCTAAAATCCAGCACTGGACAGGACGTGGGTCCTTGATGAGTGACATCAGGCAGCTTCCCCAGGAGCGGCAGGGCTGGACACTGACTTGAGAAAGACAGCGAATAAGCCAGGCTAGTTTCTCAACTTGTTGTAAGCAGAGGAGCAAGGGCAGGAAAGCCCGAGAAGGGACACGATGCACCCTGTGAAAAAGGACCTCCCGAGCAAGGTCAGTATGCTCTAGGTCAGAGCGCAGGGGAGCTTCGCCACTCAGCTGAGCAGGCCAGCGGGAGAGGGGTTCCTATGAGGCACAGATAAACGTCAACGTCCTGATACACGCCCATCCTAGGAAATCTCTCAGCCATGCTGGAGATGAAAGCAGCGCTTTAATGCCGGTAAGCGTTCTATCACTGAGCTGCCGCCATCCCCCGATGGTGCACTTTCAAACAACATTTTAGCACAGTAAATCTATTTCTACTCAAATTAAACTTAAAATAGACAAAACTTCGTGGTTTTTTACCAAACTTTGATGTTGTGAAAGTGAATTCCGGACCGTCTTTGCCGCCTTCATCTGTGTAGGCTGCCATTCGTACCATGTACAGCGTATCACTGCTCAGAGAGGACAGGGTATATTCTGTGTGGGAAGAATCCACATTCACGACTGAAAGGGAAAACAACATCTCTTTCACACAGTGTTTTTTATTTCTCTGCCCTATATTTGGCATTGAGAAGCATTAAAATTAAAATTACTTTTTTTCAGCAAGCAATTATAAATGAAAATTCTTTAAGGACAAAACAGTGTATTTAAAGTTTAAAGTCTTTGTCAAATCACATTAATTTACTCTGTGCGTGTACAACAGAGACTCTGTGTGTGTGTGTGTGTGTGTGTGTGTGTGTGTGTGTGCGCGCGCGCATGCGTGCCTGTGCGTGTATAAAGGTCAAAGGGCAACTTGTGGGAATCGATTCTCAATTTGCTCCCCTCTCCCTCCAGCACGTGAGGCATTGAACTGAGATCATTAGGCTTGGTGGCAAGTGCTTTTACCTGTTGAGCCCTTCCACCAGCCAACAATACAAAAGCTTAAGAAAGTCAGAAACATAACTATAAGAGACATCTGCAGGTATCTGCTAAGGACATATAAGACACATTCTATGAGAAATTTAAAATTTAAAAACTTAAGAAAAGCTTTAGTAACACGTCTTAGAAATCGCTACAATTTTATTACCAATTTCATTTCCTGCAATGGTTTTATAAGAAATAGAGTAGTTTCGAATAAATCCATTCTGAGCATCAACAGGAAGTTGGTCCCATTCTAAGACAGCTTCGTTTTTCCCCACTTTCTTTGTCCGAACAGTAGGTCCTTTAGAAGGTGCTGAAAGACAGCAAATGCATTTGTAACTGAAAAGCATTAAAGTCTAGGAAGTAACAGTAAAGGGTCTTCATGATAAAATTATTTGAACATAATAAGGACTTTGTGTTTTTTGTTTTGGTTTTGTTGTTGTTTTTTCGAGACAGGGTTTCTCTGAGTAGCCCTGGCTGCCCTGAATTCACTCTGTAGACCAGGCTGGCCTTGAACTTGGAGAGATCCACCTGCCTCTGCCTCCCCGGCGCTGCGCCACCACTACCCGTTGGGGGTTCTTATTTAGAGAAGCAAAATGTTTTTGTGAATGTTCCACGCATTGTTTTCAAAGGAAGCAGGAGGACCTACCGGCTTGTTTGAGGTATGCCTTTATGGACCCTGGTATTCCTGGCCCGTTGGTGAAGACGGGGGTAACTGTGATCAGATAGCACTTACTCTCCAGCAGGCTGCCTACAAGAGCAGAGAAAGCAATTTTACCCCAAATGAGATTTTACCTGCTAATTTCATGACCACTTATTTTCCTTTCTTCTAAAACCTGCAGTTTTATACAAATAAAAGTACACCAAACACAAATTTAATATAGTAAAATGTTGGCTGTGTAATTCGAGCATTCAGATGGCTACAGTGGGAAGAAGATGAAGAGCTAAAAGCTACTCTCTGCTATACTGTGAGTTCAAAGCTATGATGAACTATCTAAGTGACAACAAAAAAATAAAGTTACTTTGTCAATACAGTGAACCAAAAAATATAAAAAGCATTTCTATTGTGAACAGAAGGAGTGACTACCTTCATGTTCAGGATTAGTAAAACACTTCAGATTATTCTGGACAGCTTAGGTATCTGTGGTGGTTTGAAAGAAGATGGCCCCATAGGCCCGTGGGGAGTGGCATTAATAGGAGGTGTGGCCTTGTGGGAGAAGTGTGTCATTACGGAGTAAGGCTTTGAGGTTTTGTATGTTCAAGCCATGGCCAGCGTGGGACTCAGTCTCCTGCTGCTGCCTGTTGTTCAAGATACAGACCTCTCCTGCAGCATCATGTCTGCCTGCACGCTGCCATGCCCCACACCATGAAAATAGACTAAACCTCTGACACTGGAAGCCAGCTCCAATAAACGTTTGCCTTTATAAGGGCTGCTGTGGCCATAGTGGCTCTTCACAACACTAGAACACTAAGACACGATTTCAGCTAATTTTGAGAACTGCCAAGTTGCAACGGTCACATCAAGGGAAGAGCAGTAACTATTAGACAGCTGTGGCTAGTGAGTGGAGTTGGAAAAAAGTGAATTAAGGCTGCTTCCTCCTCAATTTTAAAAGAAAAGAATCTTAAATACGGTATTTCTAATCCTTCCAAATTATCAAAGTAGTTTTAGCAGACAACTAATGTATGGTTTAGTAGGCAAACAGTTAAATGTGGTCTTTTATAAATTATGTATTACATCTACCAAATAATAAAGTGGTTATTGCACTGTTTATACCTTCAACATGAATTTCTAGTTCCTTCACTGACACTCATAAAATTATATGTACCTTTTGTCTTCCTAAAAAGAGCAATTTTACCTCTTCTTAATATCTATTACCAAAACATGAGCCATTCTAAATTTCAGCTCTAATAATGATGCTTTCTGGGTACTGAGCCTTGAAACCTTTGACCCTACAGTCTTTAAGCTCTCCAGGTCGCTGCTCCCCAACTCCACGGTTTATATCTGGTAAGGCTGACAAAGGAGACATCCAAGATTACTAACTTCAAACAGCAGCTTGGAAAGAACCAAACTACCATTTTATAAGGAAAGCACCAGTTCTTTCCGGAGCCATCCCTGTTTATTTTATATTTATATCTGGAAGGTGACAGAGTTCACTGAGTTAAGCACACATAACAACAACCAAATGGTTATAAAGGCCTGCCTTGATTTTCTATTACAATTTTGTTAGTATCCTTTTGTTAATAAAGTAATACAATATTTTTTATTTTTATTTTAGAAAAGCATTAGCCCTTCTCTCTTTACAGAGACCCTATAGTTCAGAGAGATTAAGTATTAAAGCATAACTTGCCAATAGTCACACATATAGTAACTATTTATTTGTTATTTATAAATGTTCTGTCTGAATGTATGTCTTCACACCAAAAGAGAAGACCAGATCGCATTATAGATGGTTGTGAGCTACCATGTGGTTGCTGGGAATTCAACTCAGGACCTTTGAAAGAATAGTCAGTGCTCTTAACCTCTGAGCCATCTCTCCAGCCCACACATCTAGTTACTAATGAGGCTCTGAGTCTTTTCAGTGGCTCACAATACCTAGAAAACAGAAAAGAGTTGGCAGGAAAGGAGAACTCCCACCTTTCAGTGGACTAGGGGAAGGGGGTGGAGGGAAGAGAGAAGAAGGATGGGACCAAGAGGAGATGAGGGAGGGGGCTACAATCAGATAAAAAAATGAATAAATTGTAAAACAAACAAACAAACCAGGAAACAGAAACCAAAAGCGTGCAAAGGAAACTGTCTCAAGGAGTCAGACACGTGACATGTACTTAAATGGTTAGGTATACCTCTTAAGTAGGTTTTGTTCACAGTGTTATCTTCTTGCTGCCAGTCTGGGGTGCAGGGGGCTTCATCCGACAACACACACCACTCAACTATGTATTTGCTCACAGATTTAGGTGGAGGAGTCCATTCTACCCAGAGCTTATTATCTTTTGGGAATGCTTTAAGATCCACAACAGGGTAAGAAGCTTTAAAACAAAGTTTAATGCAGATAAAATCAGGCAACATTCACAAATCTGACATTTCAGTATCATCTTACAATCATATCCAAAGCATGTGGTTTATAACGTTCCAAAATCAAAAAGCACTTTCACACAGGTAGTCAATTTATTTTTAAACTCAAATTCTCACTTTCCCCCAATCTCCAAGAGTTTTATGTATTTACATAAACTGGGTCTTTGTCTTTCACAGCTGGAGACAGACAATATATTCATGTCTCATGCAAAGAAGTTCTCAGACCCTTGGGTATGGTATTTCAAAAGGTCAGTTAAATTATCAGGAAGCACCTGCGTGAATTATTAGCTGAAAATTAAATGACCCACACAGGGCTGAGGTACTTTGTAAGGGCTGATGCCGGGAGCCTCCTCACTGCAATCATGACCACAGAGAGCAGCTGATCCAGCCTGCCTTCCGGGACCCTGTCCACACTTAACCCTGGCACCCACAGTCGGGGCACTGCCTTACCACTACGCACCTTTGAAGTAGGAGCTGGGGATGGTGAGCACAGTTGCATCTGACTTGCCGACCTTAGTCCTTGCTGTCAGAGATGCTATGTAGCGACTATTGGTGAGATTTACTATCAATTCTGTACCCCTGACTGAGTAATTCTGGGAAAGTGATTTCCACTGTGTAAGAATCACTTCATAATCCAAGATTTTTCCGTTGGCTTCAGAAGGAGGTAATGCCTATAATAAAAGTTTAGCAAAAATTATTTCATCAACTTTTCACGTCCACAAATTCTGCCATTATGTCAAACCTGTAAATATTTAATTAGAAGGAAAAGGCAAACTCATTAAAAAAATTATTTATTTTTATGAATACTAGTGTTTCGCCTGCATGTCTGTAAGTGAGCTGTGTGCATGGCTGGAGGCCAGAAGAGCATGCTAGATCCCTGAAACTGGAGTTACACACAGTTGCAAGCTACCACGTGGGTGCTAGGAACCAAAACTGGATCCTCTGAAAGACAGCCTGTGCTAACTGCTGCGCTATCTCTTCACCTGAGCTCACTCTGAATTTAGTACTACTCACTAAGAAAGAATAAAAACAAACAAACAAATAAAAAAAACCTTCAACTGGACCAGGGTTGTAGCATGCCTAGCGTCAGGTTCTGCATTGTTCTGCACAGCTGCAATATTGGTCTACATTATTTACACCTCAGCGGTTTTCTACCTTTTAAAGTATGATGTGTTGAAGCATGTGTGAGGCCCACATTTTCTCCAAGCCTCTCTGTTTCCTAGGGGCTCCCCTAGTGAGTTCAGACATGTTCAGAACGCCGGCCTTGTGCCTACAGAGGAGACCTTTCTATGAACTGTGCTGAAATCCCGAGGGAGGGGCCAGCTGAGCTCCTGAACTCTTCGTTAGCTATACAAAGCTTTCTGTTTCTATACAGTAACATTATTAAATGTCCAGAGGAAATCAGGATGCAAAGAATAAAGATGTGTTAAAAACAATTTAAAATACCATTTAAATGCATTTTTGTTGTTGTTGTTGTTGTTACTGTTGTTTTACCTTCCATATGAGCCGTGCAGATCGAGATTCCTGAGTATGGGATGAATTTATCTTATACCAGAAACTTGGTGGTTTAGATGGTCCTAAAGAAAACACAAACTTCATAAAATAAAATGCTTTTTATACTACCCATACAGTTAAATTCTGAAGTAATTCCTTTGTTCTTATTGGTCTTGGTCTTCAGTCACACAACATTTCTCTTTATAACAGCAGGCCAACTGTAACAGAATGTACTTGTATCTTTCAAACGTCCTGAAAGCTCACAGTTCAGATCGTCATCATCTTTCTTATTTATTTGAGATGAGGTTTTGTTATGCTACCCAGAGTTGGTCAGAACTTGTAGGTGCAAATGATTCTTGTGCCTCAGCCTCCTGAGCAGCTGGGACTTTAGGCCTGTGGCATGGTGCTTGGCTGTTGATTATAATGGAATTCTTTTCTAATCTTAATGTTACAGAGATATAAGTATATTCCTATAAGTAGATAGGAAAGCAGCACTACCAGTTTGTGTCTGCACGCTGTTTCTTCTGCTTGGGTGGGTCACTGGCTTCACATAAACGCCTTCCCCTTGCACTGCAGCCTCCTCCCCAGCCTTCTCCATTCACTAGTCTTCTCACTTGTCTGTTCTAATTGCTTCTTCATGGTCAACAAACCCACTACTTAGACTTACGCAAATCTTTTCTCACTCCACTGACTAGTACGTCCTCTCTTACATTAGACCTCAGTGCTGTCATTTAAACAGAGATGGGACCCTGTGACTGGCCAGGCTGAAGCCATGATGTTCCAACCTCAAATAGCTGAGATTCTAAGAACATGCCATCAGACCTAATTTAAGAAGTTTGAATAATCACTTGACAGTACTGAGTTAAAAAAAAAAAAAAGTGGGGTCTGTATGTATGTGCATTCCTGTTAGTATGGTGGACAGAAAAGAATCAAGTCTTAAAAAGAAAGTTTTTCTTCCAATAGCAATTAAGATAGTGAAATTAAATTACTTGAAACTGTAAATCCACATGTTGGTGTGTGGCCACAGTCTACAATCGTACAGGCATCATATGAAAGGACAGCTGGGCGCACCGGGACCCACGGATCACATGCTAGTGCAGCAGCCCCTCTAGTCTGTGTGTGCTGTGTTCTCGGGCCCCACGTGGACAGCAGGCACTACAAGTACTGAATGTTTCAATACATATATACATGTAAACACACTGCTGTTCCTGCAGATACATTACTCACGCTAAAGTTTAACTTGTAAACTAGGTACAGTAACAGATTAACAATAATGGATGATGTTAAAGAATGGATAATAAAAATAAGAAAACATAACTGAAAACAAGGAAACAGAACTGAAGAGAGGGAGCGAACACTGTAACTATGTGAAAAACTGCTTGTGGGAGGTGGGGAAGCAAGGCATCTCATTACCTCAGCACTGGAGATGTGGAGCTGGAGGATTATGACCAGCACTGAGCGTGGGCTGCATAGCCCATTTCAATCAACAAAGCAAAAAAAACTCCTGCCTTTTCAGAGCTGTGTTAAGAACACCTGAAAGACAGTGTTCACTAAAACAAACAGTACTCGAATGAAAGCCACCTGGTGAGGTACCGGTTATAAGAAAGTGACAGCACACGGGAGAGAATGAGGAGACAGGCTGGCACGAAGGTCTCTGAAAAACTTCTGGTACAGGACATTGAGATCTCTCGCACTAGCATGGTGCCCCACACAAGAAAAGAACATGGTGTGCACAGGAAGTGCGCACCTCACGTTGAGACAGCTCTTAACATGAACGGCATCTAGAAGCTTCACGCTGGGGCTTAAGAAATGCCTCATCTGGTGCCTTCTAAGATGGCTCTCTCTAGACAGTGCTGACCGCTCATTTAACCATATTTTGCCTACATTCTGAGGTGTTTCATGAACCTGAACAAATGGACCCACAAACCTCTAAAAACCCACTTGAATTCCCATCAACATCTGGACGTGGTGACTCGTGTACAGCCCTAACACTTGGGAAGCTGGGACAGGAGGACTGCTGAGAGTTTAAAGCCAGCCCTTGTTACAAAGCACAAATTCCCCATTCTCCCCCTCTACAGAAAAAAACAAAACAAAACAAAACAAAACCTGATGAAGCCAAAGGAGCTTAATCATTTTATTGAGCATTTTCAAAATGATCATAGTAAGATTGCTTTCTTCACTGTGCTTATGAGAGAAAATCCTTACAAAAGGGGACATTTCTGCCTTGACAGTCTTAGTTCACACGGTGACCTAAACCTCTTCAAGATGGTGTGAAGGAATGGGGTTTGGTAAGCTAAAGTTGTTCTTACGAGACTTTGGTAGGAAAAGGTCCAAAAAGTTGCATCAACAGCGAAGGCGTGCTCCTTGTGGCTACACAGGTGGCTGTGATGCTGCAACTTTGTTAGGAGAGCCTTACGTTTTCAGATGTACTTATTTTTGTTTTATGTATGTGGGTGTTTGCCTGCATATATGTCTATACACAGTGCGTATGTAGGGTAGTGGAGACCAGAAGAGGGTCGGAGCCTCTCAACTGGAATTAGAGATTATGAGCTGCCATGTGGGTGTTGGAAATTGAACTCCAGGCCTCTGAAAGAGTAACAAGTGCTACCTCTCCAGACCCAGAGACCCTTTTTAGACCCTACACCATTATGTTTCATGTTCAGTAGAGTATGTATAATTATAATTTAATCAGTAATGAAAAAAAGGAACATTAAAGCAAACCGACCCAAATCCCAAATTATTCCTTTTCCAAGGGTTTATCAAATGGTAGTAAGAAAAATAAAAATGTGTAACATATTTTGACAGTGTTTTATTTTGGCTTTAAGACAGGATGTCCTGAGATTTCACCTTACACCCATCAGAATGGCTAAGATCAAAAACTCAAGTGACAACACATGCTGAAGAGGATGTGGAGAAAGGGGAACCCTACTCCATTGCTGGTGGGAATGTAAACTTGTACAATCACTCTGGAAATCAATCTGGTGCTTTCTCGGACAATTAGGAATAGTGCTACCTCAAGATCCTGCTATACCACTCCTAGGCATAAATCCAAAAGATGCTCAAGTATACAACAAGGACATTTGCGCAACCATGTTCTCAGTAGCTTTATAATAGCCAGAAGCTGGAAACAGCCCAGATGTCCCTCAACGGTGGAATGGATATAGAAATTGTGGTACATTTACACAATGGAATACTACTCAGCAATTAAAAACAAGGAAATCATGAAATTTGCAGGTAAATGGTGGGATTTAGAAAAGATCATCCTGAGTGAGGTGTCCCAGAAGCAGAAAGACACACATGTGATATACTCACTTATAAGTGGATATTAGACATATAAAATAGGATAATCATACTAAAATCTATACACCTAAGGAAGCCAACCAAGGAGGATCCTGGGTAAGATGATCAATCTTCATTTAGTAAGGCAAACAGTATGGAAATCGGAAGAGGGAAAAAACAGGGAACAGGACAGGAGCCTACCGGAGAGGACCTCTGAAAGACTCTACCCATCAGGATATTAAAACATATGCTGAGACTCAGAGCCAAAGTTTGGACAGAGTGCAGGGATTCTTATGAAAGAAGGGGGAGACAAAAGGACCTGGAGGGGACAGGAGCTCCACAAGGAGAACAAAAGAACCAAAAATTCTGGGCACAGGGTTCTTTTCTGAGACAGATACTCCAACTAAGGACCATGCATGGAGATAACCTAGAACCCCTACACAGATGCAGCCCATGACAGCTCAGTGTCCAAGAGGGCTCCCCAGTAATAGGAACAGGGGCTGTCTCTGACATGAACTCAGTGGGGCTGGCTCTTTGATCACTTCCACCTGAGGGGGGAACAGCCTTACCAGTCAGTCCCTAGAGGAAGACAATGAAGCCAGTCCTGATGAGACCTGATAGGTTAGGGTCAAATGGAAAGGGAGGAGGACCTCCCCTATTATTGGACTGGGGTAGGGACATAGAAGAGGGAAAGAGGGAGGGTGGGATTGGAGGGAATGGAGGGTGGCTACACCTGGGATACAAAGTAAATAAACTGTAATTAATAAAAATAAAAAATAATTTTAAAAAAAGACAGGGTCTCACTGTGTAGCCCTGGCTGGCTTGGAACTCAAATTCACAGAAATCATCCTAAATCTGCTTCCCCAATGCTGGGTTAAAGACATGTACCACCACAGCCAGCTTTGACAGTGTGGTTTTCATGAGTTAGGATACAATTCTGTAGTTAGCGACATCTTAGAACTACCTTCCTTGAACAAAGTTAAGTGAATGGTTTTTAAATATCTAAAATAGTCTTTCATAATAATGTAAATTAATTAGGTATCAAATGCATTTATTCTGTCAATAACACAGATCAAGTTCTTTTCATGATGTCCTTAAAAATGAAAGAACAGAACAGTACAGCTTGACTAGAATAATCCTGCGTAGGCAGCAGTGAGGGCTATATCTTTAAAACCTAGCAACACAGTGCGCAGGCAGAATTCCACTGGCGTCCTCTTCATCCCTTATTTACTTACGGTCTTCATAAGTGATCCCATGTGCTTCTTCGCTCCAGTCACTCCAGTAGCCTCTACCATCTTCCTTTATGGAGCGGATCCTAAACACATATTCTGTAAAAGGTTTGAGGTCCTGGATAGTGAATGACGTTCGCGGAGACACTGTGTCTTCAAGAGGGACCTGAAAATAAAGCAAATTGAGCAACAACATCAACACCCCCAATAAGGTTTCCTAAATTGAGTAAACTTTTAAAAATCAATTTAACACAAGATTAATAAAGAACAGAAGAAATTGAGGTAAAAATACGACAATCTACAGGTTCCATTCATCTTTTCTTTCTTTTTTGTATGGACCAGCAATATTCAGGATTCTCAACATGAAAGAGATGACGTGTGCTTGTAATATCAGACAGGAGGACCGAACACCTGAAGACATAGCAAGTAGCAAGTTCTAGTTCTATTTAAAGTGAGATCCTGTCTCAAAGAACTAAACCAAGCAAACAACTAAACCCAAACATATAAACAAAACAAACAACACAAAACACTTCAAGAAGGCTTAGTAGAAAGCTATAGGCAAGCCTGAATACTTGAATCCTGAGTGATTACTACTCTAGGAATTGTATTGTTACTAACTCTATGTCTAAAGAAAAAAAAAAAGAGCCTGAAAAAAAAGAGTCCATAAACATTGTTAGGTACTTTAGTTCACAGAAAAAATAAACACATGCTCAATTCTATCCCTTTTCTTTCCCATCAAGATCCTCCCAATAGCTCATGGGAAGTTAGATGGAATGGGAGTCCACAGTGAAATCAGACAGGGCAGCACACCATGACAAGATTAGTGTGCAGAGGAAAGGGGTGTACCTTTGCCAGGGAACAGAAGCTAGCCAACCCCTCAAGAAAAGGAGAGCTAGGGCGGGTGACTTGGCTCAGAGAGTGAAGGTGCCCGTCACCAGATCTGAAGACCTGAGCTGGATTCTGAAGCCACACAGTAGAGAGACTGCTTTCATTAAGTTGTGACTTCAATATATATGCTGTGATGTGTACACGTATACACAGAGAGAGAGAATAAATAAATAAATATTGAAAAAAAAAAAAAAAAAAGGAAGGAAAAGCAGAAGCTAGCCAAATAGATATTTGGGAGTGAGAAGGAAAGGAAATACATACAAATAACGACTTCTTCCTGCCACTCTGAGATTTCAGTATTGGATACAAAAATAGATGTTAAGTTTGGTGGCTTTTCTTTTGTGTGTGTGTGTGTGTGTGTGTGTGTGTGTGTGTGTGTGTGTGCTACTGAATTAAGACTCTATAACATTAAAATATACTTTGAAGAACTTTAAAAATATATCCTCTCTATACACCCTGAGTCATGAACCCAATTGTTTTGTTGCTTTTTGTGATTGTATTCTGAGCCAGTAAGATAAGTGGAGTAGCAGAAAGTAGTACAAAGGTTACAGGCTGGGCTGGAGAGATGGCTCAGGTTAAGAGCACTGGCTGCTCTTCCAGAGGACCTGAGTTCAATTCCCAGCAACCACATAGTGGCTCACAGCCATCTATAATGAGATCTGGTGCTCTCTTCTGTCATTCGGGCATACATGCAGACAGAATTTTGTATACACAATAAATAAAAGGTTATAGGCTTAATATCCTTATAAGTTCATAACAAACAAACAACAACAAAACCCCATGCTATTAGATAAACAGCAACTTTCAATTTACCTGGATCCAAGTTGAGGCATCCTTGGTCCTATACTGAATGTCAGACTTCAGCCTTAAAATACCACCAAAACCTGAATTGATCCATGTTAACTTTAATATACTGGATAATTCCTCTGAGTTGCTCACTGATAAATTATGTGGTGGGTTGGGTTTCACTGAAGAATAAAACAAGTCCTAATGTTGGTCATTCTTTACTTTTATAATTTCATATACTACAAAGTCAAACAATGATCTTTATAAGATTTTCATTATAAAGTTTTTACCAAATGAAATTTCTCCAGAAATAATGCTTTGCTATATATTTAAAAAAAGATTCTAAGGAAAGTTTTCCTTGTCTGTTCAGTATATTTGTTAATTTCCAGATGCTGATACAAAAAAATGCTGACATTTTTATGACAAATCACATTTTAAAAAGAAAATAAACGTAGAACAAGACAGTCACTGTGATTGCAGTGGTATATGAAAAGTAAATAAGTAACAGAAGGTAACATTTTAAGTGGGAGGCAGGGTCAGCAGTCCATAATGTTAGCCTCAGATACACAGCCAGTTTAAGCCAGCCTGGGCTATGTAAGGCCAAACGAAACAAAAAAACCAACAATGATAAAACATTCCAAAAGCAAACTGAAAACAGCCGTGAGTGTGGCGAGACTACAGCTATTTTTCAGTTCCCAAATTACATTTAATGATATTATAAAAATCACCATACCAATAAGCATTTCTACATTAATCCAGGTCTGAAAAATAGTTTACAGACCACCGAGTCATCTGACAAAGTCTCAAAATTCAGGCTTATAGGTACCTTTATCCACGGGGTCGAAATTGATGAGCTCTGAGGAGACTTTCCCAAGGGCATTTTCTGCTTCCACCGAGACTTCAATGTTGACAAAATAGACAGGAGTATAGCTCACCATGCAGGAGGTGTTATACTTTGTTTGACAATCAGGAAACTTCTCTGTTGCCCTAAATATAGTTGGAAGAAACAGCAATTAGAAATGGATTTGAAAATATAAAGGTGGAAAGTTCTTACATAAACGTTGGGTGTGACCCAGGCTGTTGCAGTTCTGCAAAGAACTGCTGCACACCACAAGCAGGTCAGGCTTTTAAAACTGCATTCCGTCTACACCTATGACATTATTTCTACACTTAAGAGAGCTTCATTTTAGAACTTCATGCTATGTCCTTATTGGTCCTTTGCTAAAGATTATCTATTTCCTTGTGATCTCAGAATAGCATCACCTCATTCAGGAGGCCCTAGGTATACTTTGTTTTTTGTTTTGTTTTTGTTGTTGTTGTTTCTACACACACTTCACCATGATGGCATTTAATCTCTAAACTAAGCATGGCAGATGAACTCTAACATAGTCAGTTAAGTAAATGCAGTCTCTCCCTAAATACCATAGTGTGCTCACTTTTCTCGTTATGTGGTAGGATGACATAATGCATGTAAGATTAGAACTGAGGTAAATGATGTCAGTCCTATGAGACAACGATGGGACAATTAATGACCTGACAGTAATCCAGAAAGGTGGCCATGGCAGTTTTTGAGTTAAGAATGGCCCCATAGGCTTATATATTTGAATACTTTAGTCATCAGCAAGTGATGCTACATGACAAGATTTAGGGGCTGTGGCCTAGCTGGAAAAGGTATGGCCTTGTCAGAGCAATGTGTCATGGGGGTAAACTCTTGAGCTTTCAAAAGTCCAAGCCAGGCCCAGTGATTCTCTCTTCCTGCTGCCTGTGAATCCAGACGTAGAACTTTCACTGCTTCTCTGGGACTCAGCCCGCCTGCCTGCCTGCCACCACGATAAGCAGCTCACCTCTGAAACCGTAAGCAAGCGTTGTTTTCTTTTATGAGAGTTGCCTTGGCCTTGGTCTCTTCCCAGCAATAGAATATCAATTAAGGTAAGGAGCATCCATTTCAGGTGATCCTAGATCATGCCGTGACGCCTGATCTAGGCTTTGTACTTGTGGCAGATGATGTCCATGGTTAGTGGTCTTATTACTTAAAGTGTTTCGCTGGAAGCTTCTAGAACACTGTAATTGCAACTTGCTTGTCTTTAACTCACCAAACAATTGCTTAGGAAGGCTGTGATCTGCTGCTGATCAGGATACCTTTAATCTTGTATTTCTCCGAGGATTATATTCTACACTTTCGCTCGTCAGTGTCTAAATTCAAACACTCTGCACACTCCCTAAGTTCTCGAAGCTTTGTTCTCTGAGGTTGTTTCTTTAACTGCTGGTTCTGTCTTCTGTAGGTGACGCGTCAAGGTGGGCCATTCCTCATTCAATAGCTTTCAATGCTGTTCCCCATGTCAGGAAATCACTCTCTACCAATTTACCTGCGGTGTAAACGAGTCCCCTGTCTCCCTTGTAAACTTCTGAAAAGCATTCACACCCTCACTCTGTCAACATGCCAGCAGGCATTTACATACATGTAGTTTCTAGTTTGAATTCACTCACCGCAACTCTATGCTTGTTACCAACCTAGACACAGTGAATCCTCTACAGCACTGCATAGGTACAAACTAGGGTCTCCATCAGTAGCTGACTGAACACAATCAATACCCATGGTCTCTACCAGCCAAACAAGTCTATATGAAGAGGTAAAACGTTACTGGACACCGTGATAACGGGCAGATGTGCCATCTACTGCTAGTAAGACTTTAAATCTTCTCAAACCCTTCTTGCAAGGATTTTCCCACTTCTGGGATAAAGCACTGATAAAACCCTCGCAGACAGGAGGGCTGTCACCTCCACATTATAACTCTGCTACCAGAACACAGGTGGATAAGCATGTCCATCTTCACTCTGCACACTACACTAGGCTTAATCCTATGTCTTGAACTGTGGCCAGAGTAGCAGAGCACGTACCTATGCTCTGTGCTTTGGTAATGCCTCCACGCCTTAAAGACTGTATGTTCTCCTGGGCACCTGCAAAGGTAACAGCAGTTTCTTCTTTATCTGCAGACAGCCTCTTGAGTAGGTTGCACATGTTCCAATCTAAACACGCTTCTGAATGTGCACAGCCATCCCTTCCTTGCAGTAAGTGGCTTGGTGCTGCTTCCCTTAAGAAGTCGCCTGCAGACCTGGTGCTTCCTGGTGCAATGCCTTGCTTTCACTTGGAGCATGATTTCTGTTCACATCATCCAGCCACAGATTTGACCCCTTTCTATATTAACTAAGTATCACATACTATACAAACTTATACAGAGTAAATTTGTCCTTACTGCAGATTAAAATAACCATGGCATGTGATTTTTGTTGAAGAACTTTGTCTTTCACTTAAAGAAAACCGCCCATTAGTTTCTCTTTGCATATACAAAGGCTATGCTTTGGGACTACTATTAAGTAACACTGGCTTCTCTTTTAAGTACAAGCACTGTGTTCTCACTATCAAATAACCAAGCTGAGTAGTAAGTACCTAACAAGTAGGCAGCGTGGATACATGGGCCCAAAGTCAGGACTGAGAGGGATGTGAAACTTCATCAAGCTATGAAGACAGTACAATTGCTCAGGAATTATTTCGTCCATTTAACACTTTCAGAGTGAAACAACAGATTGAGAGGATTTGTAGTTTTTCTCCTTAAAACAGAATCCCTACTAAACCAGCAATGTCTTTCTCTATTCAGAATATGCTAGGTTGACAAAAGATTAGTTAGGGGAGTTCTCTCAAGACCCCCAAATTTTTCTACCTTTTCAGCCAAACCAAGGAACCACTTGCTGATTGCTGTCAAACACAGAATATTTGCACTATTCAGAAAGCTATGCCTCAGTTTAAAACATTCATGTAAATTAAGCCTTGCTTACTAAGATAAAGCAAACTCTTCCTCTAGAAGAGCCACAGGCATTCTTAACCACTCAGTCATCTCTCCAGCCTAATTTCAACCGCTTTAAAATGACTTAACTATATGTATTTTGGAGAGAAGCAATCTTAAAACTGCTTTTAGACATATTATCACCAATGCTAACCCTGGAATTGTTTCTGGAATTACATTCCTGTCTATCGTGGGGAATAGTAACAACCATGCTTTAATATTGTTGGGACTAGCATTTCAGTGCAGAAAGAGAAGACGGCTGTTTCATGGATTATAGATGAAAACAAAACAAAACTATACTCCCCTTTCAAAGTTGAAAATGTCAACACAAGTTCAAGATGCACCACACACGCACACTCTTTAAACTTATCTATTCATTTCTTGGTTTTTTGAGACAGAGTTCCCCTATGCAGCTTTGGCTGTCATGGAAATTCCCTGTAGACCAGGCCAGTCTCGAACTCACAGCAATCTCACAGATCTGCCTGCCTCTGCCTCCCTGAGTGCTGGGATTAATGGCACCACCACACCCGGCTGCCCCTGATATTTTTGTATGCAAGAACAATCAAGTAACCCTGAGACTAGAGGTATAGCTCAAAGGCAGAGTACCTGCAAAGTACCAGGGGTGCACTTGTTAGAATATCAAGAACTGCAAAATAAAATACATAAAACAAAGCGCTATAATTTAGTGACTCGTAAATAATGAACACTGACAAGTGCTCAACAACATCAGAAGGACAGAAAAGGGGAAGTGAGCTGCTTCAGCCCTAGTAGCTGCCTCACAGGTTGGGGTGGGAATCAGGATTAACAGAGAAGCACGAGAAAATTTTTCAGGGGAACATGTGAGTTCTACCGGTGTCTCTCTTGTCAAAACTGCTGCACAACAGATCCACCTTAGATCTTTGACTCTCACTATATGCAAAGTTTAGTACACTTAACTACTGATGCCAATAGTGTGAACACTGGAATGTTCAACTCTCGAGCCTACCAAGACCTGCAGCTCACTATGAAATCACTACAGAAAGACATGCACTGACTGCTGGATGAAGACCGCCCATGCATGTGATGAAGCGATTCTAGTGAAATGTAATTGCAGAATCTAGGTGATAGCGCTGTGTAGATATTCACTATTCTTTTAGCTTTCGTGTGCAGCAAACAAATAGACTGTTAACGCTAGCAACACTAGAAATCAATGTTGTGTGTGTGTGTGCATGTACGCAAGCGTGCAGGCCAGTGAGTCAAGTGTCTTCCTGCATGTATTAAGACAGGGTCACACTAACGGCGCCAGTAGGCTCCAGCCTATCTCTGTATCTCTCTCCTCGCAGATGAAATCACAGAGCTGTGCCACCACATCTGATGTGTGGGTACTAGTTATCAGAGCTAAGAGCCTCGTGCTTGTACCAGAGCTAAGAGTCACTTTACTGACTGAATCATCTCCCCAGCCTGCAACATAATGCTAGAAGAAAAAGAAAAACAATGCAGGAGACCACATCATCCCTGTGAGTGAAATTTTTGGAAAGAGAAATCCAACTCAAATTTGACCAAATAGATACACATAACAATTTTTAGGAAATAAAGGAATGAGAAAATGTTACACAACACCCAAAAAGTAAATGAATTGTATGGAAAGAAAACAGGAACAGGTAGACTCTGTCACTTAAGAAAGAGAAGAATTTATCAATTTAAAAGTTAGGGAAGTTTTTTTAAAAATCTTAATCCAAAACTATTTTCATAAGAAAGCATTTTATGAGAGAAATGAGTAGATTCATACTAGCTGGAAGTTTGACATTAAATATGTCAAAAGGCTCCCATAGGCTCAGATTTTTGAATGCCTGGTCACTAGGGAGTGTCACGAGGGGTGGTCTGGGGTTTCAACTGCTCAAACCAAGCCCAGTGTCTGTGTGTCTGTGTCTCTCTCTCCCTCCCTGTTCCTGCTAATCTGGATGTAGAGCTCTCAGCTCCTCCAGCGCCATCTCTGCCCGCACACTGTCACGCTCCTGACCCTGCCAACAGTGGACTAAACCTCTGAATGCAAACCAGCCCCAATTAAATGTTTTCCTGTAAACGAGCTGCCATGGTCATGGCCTCTTCCCAGTACGAGAACACCGACTAAGACAGATAGTTTGTGGTGGGCTTGAAGGCCATCATCTGGAGATAGTGTTGCAGTACCTACAAGCGGACCATGGCTGGGCTTCTCTGGAAGGCAACACTGGGCAGTATGCACACTGCTCACTGCTGACGGCACCCACGAAGAGCACACAATTCTTCTGTCAGGTGTGAGCTGTTCAAATACTCACCTAACACTGCTACTGACAAGTCCCAGCCACAGGGTGTGATAATCCAGCCGGGGCCGGCATGCTGGAGGAACTTACCACTGGGACTTCAAAGTGTAGGTGGTTTCCAGGTATGTCTCTCTTCCCGGGTCCCACCGGCACTGCATATTCTTCCCCTCGGGCACAATGCAACTCAAATTGGTCGGTATGTCTGGAGGAACTAGAAAGAAATGTGTAAATAGAAACAAAGCTTTATATACACAAACATAACACCCTAGGACCCACCTCTATTAGATAAACAAACTCAAAACAAAGACGTGAGCATGAGAAACAAGTGCTCATTTTTTCGCTTTAAACTCTTTTTCAATTTTATCTATCTATCTATCTATCTATCTATCTATCTATCTATCTATCTATCTATCTAT